AAATGAAACGTAAGGAAGTTTTACGCAATAAGTGTCAAACGTATGAACGTTTTGTGCTGTTGAGCCAAATACAAAAAGTTTGAAACGTAAGAACATTTTTCGCAATAAATGTCAAACGTACAGATGTTTTGTGTATAAACCTTTTAATAAGGGTTTTGGACTCATTTGCACTTTTTAAAAAATTTGGGAGTATAATTGCAATTTAATTTTTTATTTTTCTTTTCTTTTCTTTTTATTTTATTTAAATATGAGGGTATATTAGTCATTTTACATTGAAAACAGTGAAAATGACGTTTTTCGCAATAAAACGTTGAAATAAGGGCGAAAATGCAAAAAAATGAAATGTAATGACGTTTTGCACAATAACTGTCAAATGTAGGGACATTTTGTGCCAATAAACCTTTTTTAATACTTCAGATCCCAAACATGCTTTTAATGTTTGTGGCTAAAAAGTTGCTAAAAATATAAATTAAAACAATAATTAATTTTAATAGTATATTTTATAAAATATTTTTTAATCACATATTTTAATAATTTTTATCAAAATCTATAAAAAATTTACATTTTATTTACACCAAACATGGGAACACATTCAATCAATCTCAATAAAATTATAAAATAATCAAACTTTTATCAAAATTTTAATTAATACACTTTTTAATTAGGTTAATTAACACATAACATTCTCATCTTTCACTATTACTATTGAAAACGTCACTATCTTTCTTTCTTTTTTTTCTTTTTTTCATTTTCGCCTTTATTTCCACATTTCATTGGGCAAAATGTCATTTTCATCTATTTTCTCAATTAAAAATTGTAAAATAACGAATATATCATTCTCTTTAAATAAAACAAAAGGAAAAAAAAATTAATTGCAACCATAATCCCAATTTTTTTTAAAAGTTCAAATGAGTCTTAAATAAATTTTTAAAAGGATAATTAGCATATACGTCCTTACCTTTCATTATTATAGCATAAAACTTTCATAATTTTTTTACGTTTTAACTTTTAATTACACATTTAATTGAACAAATCATCATTTATATCCATTTTCGTCAAAATTTCTCAATAAAAAGTTGAGAAATGATGAATATACCCTCATATTTAAATAAAAAATTATTTTTTTATTTTCAATTTTTTAATAATTTATTTGGGATTCGTTTACACTTTTTCATTTTTTAATTTTTAAATAAATTTAATTGGGACTCGTTTGCACTTTATTTTTTTAAAAAAATACTTTTTAGTTTTTTAATAATTTTTTTGGGGACTTGTTTGCACTTTCTTAAGAAAAATAATTTTTAATTTTTTAATAATTTATTTAGGGCTATTTGCACTTTTAAAAAAAAAAAAAATAAATTTCTAATTTTTTTAATAATTTATTTGGGATACGTTTTCACTTTGTAAAAAAATTTGAAACTATGGTTGTAATAAATTCTTTAGCTTTTTTATTAAAATAGAATGGTATATTCGTCATTTCACTGCTCTTTATTGGGAAATTAAATGAAAATTGATAGAAATTATGGTTTGCACAATTAAAAGTGTAATTAAGGGTGAAAATATCAAAAAATGAAATGTAATGACTTTTTTGCAATAATATTGAAAGGCAAAGACATTATGTGCTTATTACCATTTTAATATTTATTTGGGATTTATTTGTCTTTTTTTAAAACTTGGGACTATGGTTGCAAATTATGTTTTTCTTTTTCTTTTATTTAAAGAGAATGGTATATTCGTCATTTCACAATTTTTAATTGAAAAAATGGATGAAAATGATTTTTTGCGCAATGAAGGGTGCAAATAAGGGTGAAAATACAAAAAAATGAAAGGACAAAAGTTCTCCATAATAATAATAAAATATGATAATTTTATTTGTTAATTACCTTTTTAATTACACCAAACAGGGGATATATACAATTGATCTCAATAAAATTATAAAATAATCAAACTGTGATGACAAATTTCGACGACAAAAAAAATGAAAAAAAAGTGAAAAAGTACTGGATCTTGATTTTTGAATGACGAGAAATGAATTAATAAAAAAATTAAAGTTAGATGTGTGGGGATTGATTCTTGTCTCTGCACGGAACTCCTGCAAGTGGACCAAAAATAATTATTTCAGGTTTCATGTTTTCCCCACACTTCTTTTGCTTTATCTCATTTTGAGTAATTGGCACCATAACTCCATGACCTTTATTGGTTTTATAGAATATTCTTATCCTTTTATTACGGTACAAAACCTAGTTGGATAGTCCAAACGTTGCAAGTAGGCTTATCATCTAATTCGTTTAGTTTAGGGCGTGTTCGGTAGAGATTAAAATCGGATTAAAATTGAAAAATTAGCCGTTGTTGTTGACTTTTATTAGACGAGTGTGACCCAATAATGACTATATTTTCAATTTTAATTGGATTTTAAGCTAGATCGAACACGCCATAAGTGTTTAGTAAATATGGCAAAAATTAAAATATTGATCAAACGTTTGTGTGGGAATTAATCCAGAAATTGTTAAAGTTTGAGAAAATCAACCCTGAAAATGTTAAAACTTCGCGTAATACAATCCAGAGAATCCGACATCTTCTATACAAACCATTAATCAGAATAGAATACATGATATGAAGTGGGGAACGATGCCCTGAAAAACTACAAGTCGAAAGCTCTAGTTCAGTTCCAATAAAATTTTAATTGCGCCG